CCAGTTACGGTTAGCAAGTCTGAGCCAACCAACCTGTCTGATTCTCTGACTCCCTTGAAACCTGATCCTGAACCTGACCAGTTTTGTCCTCTCTGCCTCCTAGGAAGAACCGAACTGAATCCTGAAACTCTGGAAGAGTTTCTCATCTGCACTACCTGTCTGATCTCTGGAGATCATTGGATGATCAATCTGTATGAACCTGCCTGCCCGCTCTGAAGAAGAGAACTGGAGAAAACCTCTGATCTGAACACAGAGAAGTCTGAAGTCAAGCCCTGCCACTGCCAAGCCCTCTGCTCACCATCTGCCTCTGGACCCTCCTGGTTCCCTCCCTCTGCCGCTCAGTCAACCACTGAACAGATACAGACCTGCATAATTCAACAAACAACTGAACCTGGATCTCAGCTAACCGAACTATCCTTCTCTGCAGAGAACCCTGTTGTGACCAGTCCCGGACCTGTTAATCCGAATCAGTCTTTATTATCCATTTTGTGATCAATAAACTGTTAAACTTTTCTTCCGTGTCTGAGTGTGTTCTGCATGTGGGTTAGGTCCCTTAATCCCACCATGACAGGATGGTCCACTGTGTCAAAAAGCTTTTAACAGATCAATAAAAAGAGAGGCACAATGCTGCTTTTTATCCAGAGCAACAATAATATAATTAATCACCTTTGTAGCTGCAAAAGGTACTGTGATTTGTCTTTAAGCTAGATTGAAGATTATTGAAGTTTATGTGAATATAAGAATGCATTTAACTGAGATTCATGAACGATAGGCAGGATGCACAAATTGGATATTGACCTGTAGTCAGTTAGATGTGCAAAATCTCCTTTAAATAGAGGAGTAACTAAAGCTGACTTCCAAACTGATGGAATTTCTTTGTTTTGGACCGAGAGATTAAAAATGGTTGCAAGAGGTTGGGGGGCGGCGTGCCCTCTACACCTGGAACACCATTAAATGGGCTGATACAGGAGGTAGAGGGGGGTTACTCCTGTAGGGTCAAACAATGAACCAGATAACAAAAATGTTTGTTTAAGCAATTTAAGACTCAGATCATGATAGACTGAGTCAGGTTCGTTTAGCATATTTTTTGGGAATACCCAAGAGCTTTTATTAACAAATTATTCTAATTATTCTCCAACATTTCTGTGGATTATTGAGGTTCTCAGTTGTGATGGACAAGTAATAATCTGATTTAAGAGCTGCTTATTTTAGATAGCAGTATTTATTTATTGGTTTTATTTTAAGATAGTTAGACCAGTGTGTCACTTTCATATTTTTCTAATCAGTTCAGTTCAACTTCTTTATTTTCTAGTCAGTTTATGGTAACTCTTCAGCATCTCTATCTAACTCAGCATCCAGTTATAGCAAAACTGAACGAACACTGTGATATAAAAATATGCGTATTATTTAATTCATCTATACAATTGACAAAGTTTTCTAAATGAAAAGGAATTTCAGTTTGTTTTTTTTGTCCCTGTGCAGGAAAGTATTTCAAGATAAAATGTGAAACTAAATCTAACAGCTCTGGGCCTCTGAGCCGCAGCTCTTCCTGCTCTAAATATTGCAGGTCATAAATAAAGAAGGTGCACATTAATTAGGAGGACACTCCAGCACTGCCCCCAGAGTTCACGCTGTCTGATTCCACTGTGGTATCCTGTCTGGAAACTAAGCAAAAACATTCTTCACACGAAAAAAAAAACAACAAAAAACTACAGATTTATTCATATCGTCTGTCAACAAGCTGCAAAGTGCAAAAAGGCTTTCAGCAACATTTACATGTTTAATGTAGGCTGCAGATGTCGATTATGCTAGTCATTGACTGATCTAGAGATTAGTTGTGTTTGAACTAAAGAAAAACAACCAAAACATTTATTTAAAAATTCCAATGCATTTTATATTGAAAGAAAAAAGTGAAGAAAGAGGAAAACAGAAAAAAAAAACAATGTTATTTCAGGTGTAGTAGAATAATGTTTTCATCTTAACTGCATTTCTTTGCATTTTATGTAGATCTTACTTTGTAATCCAGGACA